TATAATATAAAAATGAGCGCGCGATATACGGCTTGCAGGCACAAAAACGAATGAATAAAAATGTTCAGCTCAACTAACTGCAAGCTTACAAAAAATGGGTACATCATAAATGAGAATGTCAAAAATGTGATAAATGTAAAAATGTTTGCACAGGGTGCTCCACATATATGATGGTAAAATATCACAGATCAGATTTGTTGCCGACTAGTGTTATTTAATAAATTAGTGAAAAATATTTAAAAACTTAAACTTTCAATCGAAAGTTATGTTTAAAAATTTCACTTTAAAAAGCGTTTTAAATTTATTTTACTTTTATGAATAACCAGTTTTTATGTGTGCACAAAATTTATAATAGTTTAAAAATATTTCGGAAAAATATTTATATTAGAAAATACGTTTCTTTACAATCATCTCAGATGTTACTTAGAAGAGTTAAAACTTAAAAGGTCTACATAAAAATGTTTAACATTTTATCAACACAATATTGAGATTTTGGGAATTATTTTCCATAGCTCACGTAAATCTTAATATTTTTCCGAAATACTCAAATTTTGCCAGATGAGTTAAAATATACATGCATACATTGATTTTTGGCAATTGTTTTCATGCATTGTCTTTCATACAAAGTATGTTCGACAATTTTTTTTTATGAAAAAAAGTGCGTAATACTTAAAAAAAAATTATAATTTTTTTTGAACCTCAAACTTGCACTTTATTATACTAAAATTTAATAGGCTTTAAAACTGCATACTCAAAAATTCTGCAAAATCTAATCAACAGGTTGAAAAATTAGATTAAATTTAATAGAGTTTTTATAATTTTTGCACAAAGTTTGAAATATTAATATACATATATGGCGTTTGTTAGATAATGAACTAGAGTTTTATAAAAAAATAAAAAATAGGCAAAATTTGTTAAAATGTCGTGTTCCTCAGCAAAGTCTGGTTGCCATCATTCTTTTTATAATAAAAAGCAAAAAAAAAATATTTTATATTTATTTATATATATTTATTAAATATAACTTTTGACTTTTAATATTTTGGGCAATATATACCAATTATTTCTGCCTTTTATTTTTTTAAGAAAAAATAACATATTTTTTTGGACTTGCAGTTTTTCGGTATTCTTCTTGTTTTCGTTTTTGGAATTTTTTAGTAATTTTTGTTATACTCCGTGTTAAATTTTTTTTTGTATCTAAGCGGGTTTTTGAGGGATTTTCAGAACTACCCTGCAGGGAGTGACGTTAGCTTATACCTAACTTTAGTCTGTTTACGCGAACAATAGTGCTAACTATTAACTGTGTATTTTGTTCGAAAAAAGCTAACTACTTTTGTGGGGCGATGGCCGCAAAAAAGTCAGACCTGGATACCTCTGCATTACATGTCAACTAACTTGTAACTAACTACTTTTGGACATAAAATATCAATAAGAAAAACAAAATATTTTTTTGTTTTTTTACTTTTTTATTTACTTATTTATTTACTTTTTTTTAGTACATTTCATATTTGTTTACATATTCTGCTCTGGGTGGCCCCATATTCGAACACCGTCAGACATAACTTCAAAATGATAGTATAAAATTTCGAACTTCCTTATATTTGTCCTGAATATGAAAAAGACTCTGCGAAGTTCAGAAAAAAAGTGTATTGAAAGTAATTTTTGTATGAGGATATTTAATAGAAACTTGTAAGGAAAACCAACTCCCGATTGCGTCTGCATGACTCCTGCACGACTTTACAATTCACTTTAAGTTGGTTTTGTCATAGCTAATTAAAAGTGAGGTATCAATCGAAATCTCGCCAAAAAGCTAACTACTTTTGTTGGTTTGTGGTGTCGGGACTCCTTCAGGATTTTCGGGACGCCTTGTGGATTTCGAGCCTATTTCGCAATTTTCGGAACTATTTCGGCAATCTCAGAATTTTTGTGATTATTACGGGATTTTCGGGAGTAATTCGAGATTTTATGGATTTTCGAAAATAATTCAGGATTTTTGGGCTATTTTGGGCTTCTGGGAATATTTCGATATTCTTGGGACTATTTCCGAACTTTCGAGACTACAACAAGATTTTAAGGATTTTCGAGACTAATTCGGGATTTTTGAGACTATTTCTTTATTCTTAAAACTATTTCAAAATTTTCGGGAATGTTTCGAATTTCTAGGGATTATTTCGATATACTCTTTCGAGATGCTTGGAACTACAGTGAGAGACGAAACCAATGAGATGTTTAAAAAAGTTGTAGAACAATTTTTTCACTCCGTCTTTTTGATTTAAAAATTCTACAAGTCATTTTTAAGCAAAAAACAAAAGCGACTTCAATTCCCGTATCAAAATTAAAGATTATCGTTAATTTCTTCAAGATCCAATGATCGGATCTAAACCAAATTAGTATGGGACCACTACTGAGATACCACCTTTCCTTTAAAAAAGAATTATTGAAATCGGTTATCGTTGTCCAAAGTTATGCGGTAACACACATAAAAAATATATACATATATTATAACGAAATGATAGCCTTTTCCTTTTTTTGAAGTGGGTTAAAAATAACTTGTGTTAAAGGTCTCTGGTTAGAACCAAAGAACGTAAATTTATAAGAGGAGACAACACGTTATAATTGTAGCGAGTGAGAACATCAGGAGCGTGCCTTCTCTTCTCATCCAATCACAAAACGTATTTGGGCAAAAGAGAAAGCACGCTCCTGATGTTCCCACTCGTTACAATTATAACGTGTTGTCTTTTCTTATAGATTTACGTTCTTTGTTAGAACTAAAAATTGTACAAATATTTAAGTATTTATTTTTCTTATTTTACTTTTTTAAACTTTTGCTACTTTTAATTTTGTTCTTTTAAAAATTAACTTTCTATATTTACATACATAAAGCATGAAGTTCAGTGAAAAAATTAGAGTCCCTGGGTTTAATAGCTGTCTGCCGATGCTGTTAACCTTTCTACACTCATTTTATAATCTCATCTGACTGGAGGCATCCATGTGAGCCACGGGAATTTTAGAAATATTTCATTCTAAAACAAAATAAAAAAAGTCAATGATTTTTTTCATTTCCTACGAAAATATTGATAAGACAAGCTAATTCTAAGATGTTTAAAATTCCTAATATGTATGTACATATATACATACATACATATGTAATAAGAAATCTATGTTTTATAAATGTTTGTATTGCATTTTAGGTGAATAAATAATTAAAAACAAATTTAATTGAGCTAGCGCCTATGCGCTCAAGATAATGAATAGGTTACACAAAAACGTTGAATTTTTGTAGTAACTGCTAAGTGCATCGCAGGCGAGTATGGTTTAGCATGCGTGACTTATCGACAATTCCTTTGACTAAATTTCCTACTTTCTTTTTAAAAGAACTAACTAAAATTTAAATCTTTTAAGTTTTCTAATGATGGGGCATCAACGTACATACAGTATTTACCAGAAGTATATATTTTGCTTTGATTCTTTTTACGATATTCGGTTTTCGATGGTAAATTTTTTATACAAAATTAAGAAACATTCAGCAAATTTCAAACTTTTTATGTAGTTTTTTTACAAAAAATCGAGTATGCAGTTTTATAGCTCATTCAGTGTTATAATTAATAAGTGGAAATCTAAAGTTACTGAAACATCCCTTTGGTTTTTGATTCTTTTTTTTTACGGTATACTGAAGTTTAACCTTATTCCTTATTTGGTTGATCTGTATTATTTGAAAAATCCATTTACCATTAACCTGGCAATTGAGAGTGTATAGAAAAATTTAATGGCTCATATTTTTGTAGAGCATTTTAACCCATTATGTCTCAGACGTGTGATTCGTTTTAGCCCTTGTTTGGGGCAGGTCTAGTATTAATTGCAATTTCACCTTTCCGGTTGAGCTATTCATCTGAAATTTGCTACATACTTTTAGTTCTGATGACAATGCAATTATGTATACTAGGAGTGCCAGCTACTGTCAAAACTCGAGCGTTTTTCTAGTTTTTAAGACCCCTGGAAAGGTTTTCTAAACTAGCACGTCGTTTAACTTATAAAGTAAAAAATTACTTACCGGAAAATCTGTTTCTTCGGTACTAAAACGCGACTACGAATTTTTATATCTTTGACGGTCTTGTTAAAACTTTGGCAGGACTTGTAATTGACCCGATACATTCCAGTTTGTCGATGATTTGACGCATATCGGTAATTCAATGAATTTAAAAAAAAATCCGATAGCTATACTTCGTTAACTCGACTAATTTCGATAAATTTTGATAAACTTCGATAACTGTGCGGGCTTGATAAATTTCGATAACTAAAAAATGTACATATATGTCGACATAAATCGATAACTCGATAAACTTTGGATACATCTATAAATATTGATAGCTCGGTTAGTTTTGATAGCTCTATATTTTGCTACAGCTATCGACAAATTTCGATAACTCGTTACACTCTGATAACACCATAAAATTTGATAAGCTGTGATAACTTGATAAACGTATATAACCTTGAAATTTCGATAACTCCATATAAAATTCCAAAAACTTAGATTCGATAATTTCAGAAAATCAAAAATATCGATAAATCGATTAGTTCAAAGACTCGGTACATTACGATAACTCGATAAATTCCTTTAACTCTATAAATAATGATAATGCAATAAATATCGATAGCTTGATAAATTTCATTTACATGAAAAGTTTCCATAAATTTTTATAGCTCGATATTTATCCGTATATTTCAATAACTAATTTCCTGTGTCTATAAATTTCGACAACTCAATAAACATTGATCAACTTGAATAATTCGATAACTATAAATTCCGATCATTCTTTACATTTCAGTAACTTGATAACTTTCGAT